CAAATAGCTTCTGAAGGAAGAACATTCCTCTGACATTTAGGTTTTGGTCAGCATCTCATGCCTCCGCTGGGAGCCCCTGGACAGGGCTCAGATGGCACAGCCATACACGCAATGTGAAACTTCATGGCAGTGTAAGGCATGGCAGTAACCACTGTCTTATCTCTTTCTTCTCCCAAGGACTTTCCTCCTCAGTTCCTGGCTTTCCCTGCCACTTCCCATTCAACTATAAAAACAAGAATTATTTTAACTGCACTGACAAAGGATCAAAGAAGAACCTTTTATGGTGCGCAACCTCTTACAACTATGACCAGGACCGTACCTGGGTGTATTGTTGATGCAAAGGTAAGACAGGTATCACACCTGGGTGCATTGCTGAGGCAAAGGTGAGGAGAGCAGGGGCCAAATCTGGGTGCATTGCTGATGTGAAGATGAGATCAGGGAGCACACCTGGGGGTGTTGCTGATGTGAAGGTAGGAATGATCCTTCCAGCATATCTCATTTGCTGAGGTTCCCAGCAAAATGATCTCCATTTCCCAGAGATAAGGTGGAATGTAATGTGTGTGTGTGGGGGGGAGGGATGGGGAGAGGTGCTGGGACAACTTCCCAAATGAGAAGGCTGAAAGAAATTGGGTCATATCTGTCAAGCAGGAGAGCAGGGGGAGGATGTGGGTGAACATTTTCAGACTCCAAAAGGTATCAATCATCCCAAGTTTTAGGTCTGGGAGGCTTTGGGGGTCAAAGATTAGGAAACTGGAATTTCTCAAAATGGAGTCTGAGATGAAAAGACTTCCCTGAAGGGGAAAACTGAGACTTCTCTGGTCCCCAGAAGTCATGGCACCATGTTGTTGATCCATTACCCCCATCATCAAAGAGTTAACTAAGGAAAAGGCCCCTCCCCACCTCAGCGCCGAAGTCAACTATCTCTGCAGGACCAAGTGCATGCTTCCACTTTTTTCTAGTCTTTTCCTCCTGGCTAAAGCCCATAGAAACTCTCTCTAGACCTCCTGCATGGATCAACTGACCTAATCACCCCATAATTCTGGAATTTAAATGTAAAGAGAAGCCCTTTCATTAGGTGTGTGGACAAAACTGCACTGCCCCTTCCTTCTAGGGTGGAAAACACTAGCAATGTTTCCCCTTACGATGCACATGACTTATGGGTGACACCAAAATTAGTGACTTGCTCTCAATTTGGGCTTGGCAGTGAAAATTACCTTCCCAGAACAGAAAAGAGGCAAATGAGTGGGTTTGGGACTCTGGGTACCATCTTAACAGGATGGATATTCAAAAACACCCACAGTGGTTCCTCAGTCTGTGTCTAGGATTAAGAACATCTTTAGCGCCCATCCTCCAACTTCTATCCATCAGAGCAGAACTGTCTTCTTTTTTTTTTTTTTTTTTTTTTCTGTCGATCCATCCATCTGTGTAGTAATTCATGCACATTTATTGAGACTTGTGCCAGACTCGAATCGCTATTGCTCAGAGCTCAAACTCTTGAGCGAGCTCTTAACCAACTGAGCCACTCGGCCGGCCCTCAGAACTGTCTTCTTGCTCGTCCCTCTCCCACCAAACCTATGACAATAGAGGTGAGGTGGAGGTACTCATTGTTCATTGACTGACTTGTTCCCGTGAACCAGGCAAGGGGCGCAGGGTATCTAACTGCTCCTGGTTCAGCTGCTTCTGACTGAGTCTTGAAAATCAATACCAAGTCATTTTTTAATTTACATTACATTTTGAGTCCATGCATACCTATTACCTGAACGCTGGCTTTTGATCTTATTTTCAAGGGGAGAAGAAACCTCTTCAGAAAAAGACTGACATGTTGAGTTAGGAACCAGCTTCGTCTTTTTCATCACGTCTTTCAAGCTTTGCTAATCACTTTTGGAAATGCCTTGTTCGCCATCTTGCTTGATCACTTGGTCACTTGTGAAGAACAGAGGGAAAATGTGGCATAACCACCAATAAAGGAGCCCCATATTGACTCTGGGCCTGCCTTTCCTGCTTCTTAGAATGAGAGATATGGTGAGGGACCTGAATGGGTGAAGGAAACTGGGTTGGTGAGTCTCATGGTGGGGAGATCAAATTGTCAGCCCAGGGACCCTTGGAAGTAATTTCAGCCAGCTATCTCTTTCTGGGAATCACAGATTTGGGCGGGGTGGGGGGGGCATTTGTAGGTACGTATTAAATAATTAATAAATAAATTAGTAAGTAAACACAGGGTAGAAAATTCACTGCAAGACTGTCTTAATAATTCCTTCCCCATGGCCATGGCAGACATCACTAATTGATTACAGAATCTGTTTCCTGTGAGCCCAGATACAACTTCATGCTGTCCTCCTCCTCCTCTCCCTCCTTTTCCTCCTCCCTCCCTCCCCCCCCACCCCCACTTCATAAAACACTCTGAGCAACTGATGTCACTATCCCTCACTACACCCAAACATCAGGAATAGACTTTAGCCATTTAGCCTCATTCAGTGCCAGTCTGATTGTCAGGTTAAAATGATGTTTCATAGATGTGCAAGAAGCCCTAAGATTTAATGGTAGATCTTTTCCACATTAGCTCCACAACAGCCAGAGGATCAATCCTCACTCTGTCACATACAAAAATGCCGTAATAAGCATAGTTTTCACATTCCCAGATCCCACATCTTCCCTCGTTTAGAGCTTCCCTCATCTCATTTTTTACCTCTCCGCCGCTCATCATTACACTCAAGCCACTGTTCTGTTCTTTGAACCCACCACGCTCACTCCAGGCCCTGTGCCTTGTTCGTGCTGCAGTTCTCCTCTCCCTGGTCCTTCTGTAGTTCTTCTCACTGCATTCAGTTTCTGTTGAAATGTCCTGTGATGGGTTGGAGATGTGCCACTCAAATAACGGGCTTACCCAGCTCTGCTGAATGCTGTCTGTCGGCAGCCTTCCTCCGTCAGCCCCAAATCAGAGATGTCCTCGGCTGTAGAGTGGCCTCCTTCCCCCAAGATCATGCCCTTCCCAGGGACGTCCACAGGCAAAGGCTGACTGAGGGCAGGTTTAAAGACCCGGCCGTTTCGACCACGAGACAACTCTGAAGAGCTATGGCAAGGGCTCCTGTGGGTTTGGCTGACGTTGTTGAACTTACACCCCACACAGTTTAACTGCTCCCTCGGCCCAATCCCAGTTCCTTCCCCAGGTGTTGACCCCAAGGACACTCCTTGATAAACCTCTTACCTGCTGATCTCCACTCTCAGACAGAAGAGGAGCCCTGAGAACGCAACCTGAGACAGACTGTCTTTACGAAATGCCCTTTCAGCTAATTCAACTACCCTTGCTTTACCCCCAATTCTCTTGGTATCTCACCACACCCCTTTATCTTCCTCAAAGTATTCATCTTGATCTAAGCCTCTCTTAAGTAATTCTTTTTTTCTTCTCCCCTCATCTTGGACTATAAAATCCAAGAAAGCAAAGACGTAATCACTGGGCTGTCTGCAGGACCTAGAACAATCCCAGGCTTATAGCATGGATATGCGGTGTCCAGCACACTAGACACTATCCACACTGGGCTAAAATTTTTTAAAAAATTTTATTGGGGAACAGTGTGTTTTTCCAGGACCCATCAGCTCCAAGTCAAGTCGTTGTTTCAATCTAGTGGTGGAGGGCGTGGGGATCGAACCGGCAACCTTGGTGTTATGAGCACTGCGCTCTAACCAACTGAGCAACCGGCCACCCTGGGCTACTTAAATTTAACTGAAGTAACTCATAAGCTCAATAATTGATGAATGAAATGTGATTAACGTAATGCAATAAAAATAAAATAATATTCATTTTCTCAGCCTCACTCACCACATTGACTACTCAATAGTCACATGTGGCCAGTGACTGCCATAATGCCCAGTGCAGATCTATCAATAGGACATTTCCGGCATTATAGAAGATCCTATTGAATTGTGACTCTAGACTAAGCTCCTTGAGGCCAAGTACCTTATCATCGCTGTATGTCCCTCACCTGGAACAATGCCAGGCACATAGTAGGGACTCAGCAAACATGATATTGACTAGGTCAGAGAATGAGTGAACAGGTGGGTGGGTGAGTGTATGGATGGAATGGAATGGAGCAGAGACAGGAGGCTGAAGTCATCTTTTCAAGGGTGAACTGGATTATGTCACTTCTCCATTCAAAACCCTCCAAGATCCTTAAAATGGCTTCTGAGAACTTACCGTATTTCCCCGTGTATAAGATGCACCCTTTTTCGAAAAATTTGGGGTCTAAAAAAAATGGGTGCGTATTATACAGTGGTTGTAGATTTTTTTACTTGCATTTCCCACTTTTTCGCGCTTGTTGTCTTTGCGCTCATTGTTTCGCACTTGTCACTGGTATATTATGGTACGTTACGTTTTGCCCAGAAATGGCTCAGAAAAGATTTTCGTACAGTGCTGAATTCAAGTTAAAAGTGATCCAGTTTGCAAAAGTGAATGGAAACCATGCTGCTGAGTATAAGTTTGGTCCTCCTCCAACTGAGAAAACAATCCAAGACTGGCTACAGGAAGAAGAAACCCTACTGAAAGCGCCACGGCAGAAGGCCATGAGAGGCAATATATGAAGACAGTGATTCATCATCAGACACAGATGAGGACAAGCTAATGGCTGGGAGTTTTGACAGAATTTTATGATGAATAAAACTTGAGTTCAATAACTTTATGTAATTCATTTTTTTTTCAAATTTTGGGCCCCAAAATTAAGGTGCATCTTATACATGGGGAAATATGGTACTTGCATGATTTAATCCCTGATCCACTCTGACCCCTCATTGCCTACCCCTCTCCAGCCACCCTGGTCTCCTTGCTATTCCTCAAACACTCCAGGTACATTCCTGCCTCAGGGCCTTTGCACTCCCCGCTCCAGACGTGCTCTTGGTGCTCAATAAACACCTTGATGTCCTGTAGAAATGATGACTCCTCTCCTCTCCCAGAATCCCTCAAGCCCCTTTCTGCTCTGTTTTTTTCCACATCTCTTACCATCTTCCAACATTCTAAACATGATGACATTTACTCATGTGTTTTGTCCTGGGACTGTCTCCTCCCATTGTAACATAAGCGCCTGGGGTCTGGGGTTGTGGTTTATTTTATTCACCAATACAGCCCCAGGCTTGGAAGACAGCCTGGCACACAGTAAGCACATCACACATTGATGTTGAATAAATAAAGGGTGGAAGGAGGGAAAGAAGGAAAAACAGGGAAGGAAGGAATGAAAGGTCCAGGAATGGCTTCTCGGCAACCTGGCTGAGGCGAGGATTTGGACTCTCTTCTCTCTCTCTCTCTCTCTCTCTCTCTCTCTCTCTCTCTCTCTCTCTCTCTCTCTCTGATGACATTTTGTGGGGGATTAATTAATTCCCTGGGGGATCAACTTGTCTTAAACCTTGATAATCCAGATTTATGATTTAATGCAGTGGCCTGAGTATCTTACACAAGGAGAAGGAAGTAGGCTGCCAGAGGGGGAAAAAACAGACTGTGCTTCCAGGAAATCAAGAAAAGGGGGGTAGGCTCACTTTGATGACTCTTTAACGAACCATTTCCAAGTCCAGTCTTATCACGAACCCTGTGTCTAGCCCCATGATGGGCATGCCTCCCTCTTACCGAGAGAAAGGAACAGGTTTCTGAAGCAGATTAAGGGGGAAGAGGGAAGGGTAGAGTAGTGGCAAATTTTTTGAGTCTAACAGGAGAAAAGATTATTTTAACCCAAGAGGAAGCTGGGGAGGAGACTGGTAGGTCATTGGGGTTTAGGATTATGTGAAGTCAGAAGATGTCATTAATCTTTGGAATTTTTGGAGCTGGCAAGTTGGACTTAGTCCGGTTTACATTTCCTTAAGGGGACTCTTCCTTCTTAATCTAGTTCTAGAGATCTGACCCCACCCGACCCCATCCGGGCAAAGCTATCACTTTCTCAATCTAGTCACCACACCCTCCCCCTCCTCTCCTTTAAGGGGATTTGGTCCCCCACAAGTGCTTGATCCAGGTTGACCAGGTAGGGAGTGGCTGGGGTTTCCAGAACCTTCTCAGCGAGACATCATCTTCACAAACTCTGCAAAGAAAAGTCCCTGGTGAGGCCTCTATTCATAAGAGGAGCCGACATTCCTTTTTTGAGCCCTTTCTATGTGTTGGAAACCACTCATGGTCTTTGGGAAATTAATCGACCCCTCTATGCCTCGATTTCTTTATCTACAAAATGGAGTTTTACCTTAAACGGTTTTTAAGATGATTAAACAATGTAACGTCTACAAGACACAGTAAGTGTTAAATACATTACCAGTATTTTATTTCATCTTCTCAACCCTTCCTGGTAGGGTAAGTACCATTTTACAGATAAGCAAACTGAGGCCCCGTGAGGTTGACCACATGCCTGAGGTCATGGGGGTGGTGAATAGCGAACCCTGGAATGAACACAGGTTGTACCTAACTTTGCTGGGACTCAACCCCAGGTGAACTTGCTGACCCCACCCAGGTCTTGAGGTTGGTCTCTGTCCTTCCCTTGCCTGTGGTGGGCCTGGGGCTCTGTCCCCTCAAAGGCCTCTCCCACCTCTTCCATATCCCCATTGAGGTCCACTGTGCACTAGATCCAGCAGGCAGCCAGCAAACATTTGCTAGGTTGCCGCCCTGTAACAAATAACGACTAAGGATTGGAAATTATAGAGCAGAGATGGCTTAGAGGAGATCCCTCACTACCAGCACCCCCCCACACCCCCCACCCTCCCAGAATTTCACAGCCTAGGACGCAAACACAACTCAACACAGCAAGGTCTACAGTGACAACTTCCTTTGGAGAAGAGTAGAAAAATCTGTAAGATTTCACAGCTGGGACTAATACACCAGCTAAGGATGAAGGGAAGTTTCTTAGCAGAGGTTGCATTGGTGTGAATTCCTGACGGACGGATAAGATTTGGAAAGGCACTGATGACATGGGAAGGGTGTGGTAACTGGAAGGAACGCCAGAGAGAAAGGAGCAGAAGTTGGAGAACACAGAGCAGGTACCAAGTGTGCACCAGAATCTAAAAATTCAGAGAGTGGTCGTAGAAGATTCGACCACTGGGATGGGGGTTTGTTGGATTATGGATGCACTTGAACATCAAACTAAGAATTTTGGATTTTTGGTCTTTAGACAGCAGCTGGATGCTGAGATTTTTGAACCAGAGAGTGTCACAATTCGAACTTGACATGTCCTATTTATGCCTCCCACAAAAATGATCTCTCCTCCCATCCGCACAGGACTCCAATCTTTTCATTTATCCAGTTACTCAGGCTGCATGTGTTGAGCTCTGTGCTAGGAACTGGGGATAGAGTAATGAAAGATTTAGTCTGTGGCCTCAGAAGGAAACAGGCTATAAACTAATGTAAGCTATCGTGATGTGATGAGTCAGGATTACTGCAGAAGCATGCATGGGTGTTACGGGATCGCAGAAGAGGAGCTCCGGGCCTCTAAGAGAGGTGGGGGACACCTTCCAGGAGCATAACTAAGAGCCAGTGGAAAGAGGAAAGGGTGTTCTAGACAGGAACGGTGACATGAGCGATGACAGGGAGGGGAGCTTCCTGCATGATTCTTTTTCATTTTCTCCAAAACCATGAGAGAAAAGTGTCATAATTACCCCC